CCACTATATCTTATCACAAAAATAGCGCCGTGTTTCTGTATTTTATGGCAGTAATGGTATGTAATGCATTTTTTTCCTAAATTTTACCTTCTAAATTGTTTTTTTTTTTTCATTTTCCTCACGCTCTTTCATAATTTTTACACTTTTAATTAGTATCATTATTAATAACTCTTTAACTGTACTTTACTGTGTTTTGTTTGCTTTTCGATTTTCTTTTTTAACGCAGTTGATTCTGAGTAGTGAGTTTTATAGTTCATTTTCTGTTTATTTTTTTCCTTTGACTTCCTCCTTGTTTCTCTCTGCTTAACACTTTTTTCCACTATCGCTTGCCTCAACATCATTAATTTTAATTGCAACGAATGTGCTTCTTCTTACTAACCATGTTTTTCTTCTTTGCAACCATTCATTATCTGCTTTGGCAGATACATATACACATATATACAATCCACCTTGCGGCTGCAATTGCAATTACATTATAATTATTATTTATTCTGCTTTTGCACGTTTATCTGCTTTTAATTTACCTGCATTGCCAGACACTGCTGATTATCCACGTTTCAGTGTGTCGCTGCATTCGAGTTTATCTCATTGAAATTTTTCAAATATTTACGTAATTTTATTTAAGAGTTTTCTTGTATTTATTTAAAAATTTTATGTTAATCTTTTCATATTCAATTTTGTTCTAAGAAACAATTGAAATTTGGAAAAAAATGCATAAAAAATGAATAAAATAAAAGCAAAAATAAACAACTCTTTAATATTTAAAAGTATAAATTATTTATTAAGCCGCCAATATGTAGGCAACATTTTATCTGCAGCTAATCCGCTGCTGTACGCCTAAAGTAAATTATGAATTGCCTGCTTTTAGGCTGTTGATTGCCATTGACACCATCACGTCAAGTCAGAAGGCATTGGTTGGCTATCCTCACACGTCTAGAACTTTTGACTTTCACGACTAAATATGGACTGTTAGTTTTTCGAGCTTACCCCACTTGCAGTTAACACTACTTCAACTCTATCGCTGTGGTACATATCTATGAGCAGACAAAAAATTGTTGCATACTTCTGGGGATGCTTTTTTTAATTTTTTTTTTTAATTTTCTAGAATATTTCAGCCCTCTAACTACCTTCCGTACCATTTTAATGAGTGAGTTTACTATGTAAAGGTTAAAAGGTACCTTTTCGGTGAGAATTAGCGGTTTAAAATATTCTACGAAATTGTTAACGGAAAATTTTACTAAACAGAGATGAACTTTATAAGTCACTCCGAAGTGTTTTAGGTACATTTTTGTATGTTTTTCCAGTAGAGCAACTTACCACAGTACACACAGTACAGTATACTAAAGGATGTCTAAGGAGCAAACCTTTTTTACTCTTTGACATTTATTTACTTCGAAAGTGTTTTCAATTATATACATGCATTTATATATATTTATTTTTTTTACCTTAAACTATTTAAATTTATTACTTCATCTAAATACTCATTCATTTTTTTTTCATTTTCCAACCCTCTCTACTCACCAATCGCTTGCACCGGCCACTCGCCTCTTTTAGCAATTAAATCTTATCTGCTCGCTCCAAACTATCAACCGTCCATCACTAATTTATTTAGTCACTAATATGTTAATTGAAAACACTCTCATGTCAGTTAATTATCACAACCCTACAGCATCATCTCCTCCTTCACGCCTCCCTCACACATACACACACACACACAGACGAGCGAATCCATCGAACACCGTTGAGCTCTTACTGCGCTACTCTTTGAGTGTGTATCGTTGTCGTGCATCGCTAATGCGGGCAATTAAATTTGGCATAGTGGCAACAACAGCAACAACAAACAACAACAGCATTAAAAGTAAAAGCAAAAGTAATATAAATAGTAGTATATGTGAAAAGAGTAGTAGGAGTTAATTCTGGCTAACTCCATTTTGCACTTTTCCTGTTCATTCAACTGTCACAATGTAATTTATACACGTCAATTGTAACTGTCAAATCGGTTAATGTATATTTGTAGGTGTGTTGTGTATGTGAGTATTAATAATAAATAGGGCTACAGTGGCAGTAGCAACGGTTAAAACGTAAATACTACATACACATCTGCCTGTAGGGACATGGATTTGAGTATTTTTTCGGCCTATAAAAACTTTGTCATTTATTTTGATTATTTGCTGTTGAGGTGTAAGGTGTAAGTATTGATTTATGTTCCATTCCATTTTTTTTTTTTACAATTGCCTTTATTGAGTGACTTAATAAATTACATACATTACAATATATATGTGTAGCAAAGTGGAATTTTTTGTCATTAGCTTATTGAATAATTCGAATGATTGTTTGTGATAGATTCTGAAATTATGATAGCTTAGTAAAAGCCTTGAGGCAATTCATGTACTTCAATTTGAGGTTAGGCTACTTTAAAATAATTGGAACACGTCCATTTTGAAAGTATTCACTTGTAATATTCTTTAAAACATGTGAAAAAAATTTTAGCGAAATATAATTATCAGTATGAGTTTTATGGCATTTTTTGACGTTTTTGAGGTTAGGTTTATATGGTAGGTATGCTTTGAAATGAATATTAGAAGCCCAATTTCAGAGAGTACCTTTCTAATGATATTTAAAATATGTGTACAAAATTTCTGCATTATAAATCTGTCAGTATGGATTTTAACGCACTTTTCAACGTTTTTGAGATTACCTTTATATGGTAGGTATGCTTTGAAATAAATATTAGAAGCCCAATTTCAGAGAGTACCTTTCTAATGATATTTAAAATATGTGTACAAAATTTCTGCATTATAAATCTATCAGTATGGATTTTAACGCACTTTTCAACGTTTTTGAGTTTAGCTTTATATGGGAGGTATGCTTGAAAATAAGCGGAACAAATCAATTTTAATAGTGTACATTTAAAATGATTATGGAAAAATGTGAACGAGATTTTAGCTTATTACATTAAGCGGTATAGTTTCCAAAGCGTTTTTTGATGTTTTTCCTAACCTCACATTGAAGGCATGCTTTATAATAAAAAAAAAATAGCTAATTTATGAGAATATCTTTCTAATGTCTTTAAAAACATATGAACGAAATTTCCGCATCCCATATATGACGGCATGGTTTTTATGGCATTTTTTTATCATTTTTGAGGTTAGGTTTATATGGGAGGTATACTTGAAAATAATGTAGATCAAGCCTATTTTCAAAGCGCACGTTTACAATAATATTAAAAAAATATGAACGAGTTTTTGGCATCATACTATATGTGTTTAATGTTTGACGTTAGGATAGTATGAGAGGTTTAATTAAAAAAAAGAGAGTATTTTCTCAATTTTTGAGGTTAGGTTTAAATAGGTGATTTTCCTAAAAGTGTTAAATATATGATCACATAAACCATATTATACTTCTAAAAATAAAGTCACACATTATTCATCAGCGACTCATGTTTGACTCATGAAAGTTGCAAATGTGATTTACTTGATAATATAACGGTCTTTTACAAGTCTGACTTTTTTGAATTTCTCATTACACTGGCCTGTATGAATTGTGATTTATTTGGACTCATTTAATTCTTATGAAGTTCATGTCTGAATCCATTTTCCGTCTTTGGTTTTGTTGATGCTTTAATGACTTGCTGGAATTTTTGCATAATTTTTGAATTTCTCAAGAATATTTTTTCCTTTTTTCCTTAACTCTAATTTTAAGTAATATTTTTGAATAGCAGACGCTTCTTAATATATTTTATTCCAATAAAAATAATTTCTAATTATTTTATGAGTCACTTGTCATAGAAGTTCCTTATCATTTTTCCATTTATTTCTTGAATCTTTGTATGCCAACTGATGGTTCTCTAAAAGTCTAGTGATTTATTTAAGTTTTTTACGATGCCTGCAATAATATCTTTGTATACTTTGAATCATTTTAAAATTTACGTGAATCATTTTGCACATTTAAAGCACGCTTTCAAGTCAGAGAAAATTAATTTTATTTTTATAATTATTTAATAACAAATAAACGACTGTTGTTAGTTGAAATAAACTGGATTTGGTGAGATCATTTTGATACCTCTAAGAATAGTTTTATGCAAGGGAAAAAAATATGAAAATTTTATGACTCTTGTGGATCATTCAAGACTCTTCCTTTGAGTCGTAAAATGCTCATTTCATTATCATTTTTTTTTTATAAATTGAATGTTTGCTCAAGATCAGGTTTTTGTTGCGTAAAACTAAATTCATAATTTCTTGAACAAATTTTAGAATACATTATGATTTTATATGATTCAAATTTAGAAGTCGCCTTGAGTCATTAATGAATTACATTTTTGTTTTTAGTTTTTCCAATTATTCCTTAATTATTTTTTGACCCACACGAAGACTCAACAAAACTATATTGATAAATTGACTCGTTATGGCTTATTTTTAGAACTCCAATCGAGTCACTAAACATTCATAATTTTCAAATTTCATTTTGCAATTATGCCATGATTATTTTTCAAGCGATGTACTGACTTTAAAAGACTTCTTTGATGTCTGGCAGCATATTTCTATACACGGGAAAAATTTTTTGAAATCAAATTGACTTAATATGACTTAAATTTAGTACTCATTTTAAGTCAAATTTTTTTACAATCATTCTGAGATTAGTTAAAGCCACGTGATGACTCAATAAGTACTCTTTGATGTCCGCAAGAATATGTTTTCTATGAATCTATTTAACTTAATTACGATTCATTAGGATTTTCGCTTTAATCATGCCTCCTCTCTTAATGTGTGGTGCAAAAAGGCGCTCTTGACAGATCTACAATGCTCACACAGGCGTCAAAAACTAAAATTTATTTCTTTTTTCGAAAAAAAGACCTTTTTGGTGCTTGTCTGACCAATCCCAAGCCATACATATATATTTTTTGCAAAATAATTTATAGCCAAAAGTTTCAACTTTCAACTCAATCGATTACAAAGTGCTCTCCATTCTTATTAAACTCATACATTTTCATTTCTTTACAGATAAAAAAAATTCGTACAACAACAACAAATAAATCAAAGCAAACGACAGTGTTGAAATAAAAGTAAAAATTTATGTGAAAAAACGCACTAACGAAAGGATATAAATGTAAACAAAAAGGCAGAGGAAAAGAAGCTTTCTGTTACTAGCGTAAGATAGAGAGGGAGAGAAAGAGAAGAGCGGGTGAATGAAAGCGTTGAAGTAGAAACGGCGGAAAATGTGGTGAAGCGAAATTGAGAGGAAAGAGACGTTATAACTAAACACATACATATATACTTATACATATATGTATATATATGCAATGAACCGACGACGACAACGCGGTTAAGGTCAAAACAACAACAATAAAAAGCAAGCAATGAAGTAAATAAATAAAAAAGAAGAAGAAGAAAGGAAGATAAATAAAACAACACACGCACATTGTGAAGCCAAACTAACAAACGTAGAACGGTGAGAGACCAGTAAAACGAAAATATTTTTTAAAGAGAAGAGTAAAAAATAAATCGTGTGCGCTGCAGAAAAGCTGAGAAGGTCATTGGAGTTGCTGATTTTTGCACACGAAGCAAGGAAGGATAACAAATTAGAAAGAAAAACAAAAGCCACAGTTGAGCAGATAAAAGAGTGCGTTGAAAGAAAATAAAACTACATAAAAGTAGAGGAAACTTGAATGGGAACAGGACACAGTAAATAGAGCATGCGGCAGCGATGTGGAAAAGTGTTAACGTAAACAAAACTTTAAGTGTTGTTGCATGCAATTTTTAGTGGTCGGCGGAAGAGCAGAAATCAAGCGAGCGGAAGGAAAGTGAGTGCCAACGAAGACAATAGAAATGCGAATGAAGACGAAAAATATTGTAGAGCGTTGATAAAACAAAAGAACTAACGGAATTAAGTAATTGAAATTAAAAAAAAAAAAAAACCAATAATAAAATTAATGCGGAATTGAAAAAAATTCAAATTTAAAATATATTTTTTAATTGAAAATTTGCATATAAACTCAACAATTGACGCTTTAAAGTTACAAAACGTTGCGTTAGCCGATTATTTGTTGATTTTGAAACAAAGGTTAGCCAAAAAACATATCAAAAGCATTTAATATAATTTTTAAAGCATATCTACAGGCGCAAGGGCTTGAAAACTTGCTTTTAAGCCATAATACTCTTCTATGGGGAAAAGTTATTGCATCAAATAAATGGGCAACGCTCATTTATGCACAAACTAATAAGAAACAAAACAATATAATAAAAAATAAACAAAATATTAGCAATAAATAAAGCTACGACTACTGCAACGCCTAAAACTGTGCTAAGAAATTGCGCAAATAAATAAACACATCACTATAGACGAAGCAACAAATTGCAAGGTAAACGAAAATCTGCCATACACAATTAGCAAAATTGGCAAAGCATAAATTCTAGCTAATTGAGGCATAAATTTAGGCGCTGTGTGCACAAATTCCAGCAGCAAAGCAAACGACGGGCGTACAGTGGCGGAAACAACTCATTTTGACACTGCTGTGGGGCAGAGTAAAACGTGTAAGAGGAACTGAGAAAGAAATTGAGCGAAAGAGAGCGCAAGAGCATTGCAAATAGCCACTCACACATCATAAACGGAAAACTTATCAACTTCTAGTCAATCTAGCACAACGACTACCGAACCCCTGCTCAAAAATACAACTCACTCACTCTCACACATACACACACGCACACACGTACATAAGCACGCACAAAAATGGCGTTTATTTGGCGTCGTCGCTCAGCGTCCATTGTGAAAATCGTTGCCATGCTCACCGCCATCTGGTTTACCGTCGCCTTTTTCATCTACAGCGATAACGGTGAAAGTGGCAGCAACAACAATAACAACAGCAAATGGAATGGCATGTCGTTGGCGTTGAAAAGTGTTGCAGGTGGTGGCGGTGGTGCCGGCGTTGGCGGCGGTGGTGGTGGTGGCATCGGTGCACCAGCCAATATACCCGACGGCGAACAGGGTATCTATGAAGCCGGTGGCGGTTTTGGCGTCGAGCGTGTCGGTGTAGCGGCTGGCGATAGTGGTGCCAGGCGGGAACAGCGTCGTGGTGTTGGTGATGTGCCGCCACTGGAGAACAATCAGTTAAATGCGAATGACGAGGTTGCAGGTGGCGCTGAGCAGGATGCTCGGAATGATGATCAGCTCGCGCTCGTTGGTGGCCTACGGCAAGATGACCTCAATGTGGGCGATGAATCGGTGCAGAATAATGTGGTGGTAGACGCGGCGGAGCAACACAACAATGAGCGTGTCTATCATGGCAAATTGATTGCGGGCAATAAACCCAGCAGGAGCGGCAGTAAAAGAAAGCCACAGGATGATGGTATGTTGATGGTTGTTTTGCTCTTTTTTAAAATTAATTATAAAATGCCATTCCAAACTTATTTTGATCGTAAATTTTTCTTACTTTTTTTTAAATATTTGATTTCATTATTAATTATTTTATTTTATTCAAATTTTTAATTTTTTATATGTATAAGAAATGTCATAAAACGCAAGTTTAATATCTTTAAAAAAATTATTCTAAAAATAGCGGTGTTACGTTTATTTTCATTTTTTTTTTTACGAACCTAACCTCAAAAACTGCGAAAAACGCCATAAAACCTATACCTATAAGCCTGTAATGTCAATATTTTGTTTATATAGCTGTCGTATCATTAAAAATATATTCTACAAAAAATAGTTTTGCTATTTTTATTTCAAAGCATACCTGCCATACAAACCTAACCTCAATGAGAGCAAAAAATGTCATCAAAAGCGACAAATATACGGTTCTGAAATTTCGTGCATATATTTTTTAAATCATTAAAATTTTATACCCTAAAAATCGGCGTGCCCTGTTTTTTAAAGCATACTTTCCATACAAACCTAACCTCAAAAATTGACATTTTCCTAAAAACAGTTTCCTAAAAACCTTAATAATAAAGATTTATTTGTTTTAGTTATACCCATATGCCTTTAAGAGCGTTGAAAGTGAGCAATTTTAAAACGGACGTAATCTAATAATTTTAAAGCTGCCTAACCTCAAAATTTGTTAGGGAAAAATAATTATTCTTAAACAAGAATTTGTTTCTTTCAATTTGATTTATTTTTCTGTTTTTTTTTTATTTTATTTTGATGTATTTTATGAAATTTTTTATTATATTTCAACGTTTTTTCACTTAATTTAATTTAAAAAAAATTTTAGTTCTTAACTTTCCTTTAATTTATTCCATTTCATTTTTTTATTATTTAATTTAAGTTTATTACTTTTATTTATTAATAGAATACATTTTTCCTTCATTTATTATTAAATTATATTTTTTTAATTTAATCTATTGTTATATTAATCTATAACTAATATTTAGCGCCACTGTGTCTACCTTGAATTAAGCTGAGCAGGTTGCAAGATCTCGTAATAAATTAATGGTGTTGTTGTCCATTTATTTAATTAGGCAGTCCTTAAAAATTAATGGGTTATGTACAGAGATACCTATATTAGGGTGCTTTTTGCTTATTTGCTGTTACTTAAAACAAAATAAAATTAAATTAAATTAAATTAAATTAAATTAAATTAAATAAAATAAAATTAAATTAAATTAAATTAAATTAAATTAAATTAAATAAAATAAAATAAAATAAAATAAAATAAAATAAAATAAAATAAAATAAAATAAAATAAAGTAAAATAAAATAAAATAAAATGATTTTAAATAAGTTAAGTGTTATTTTTGCCTCGTTTAATATTCTATGTGCACACATTCTATGTACATATACATACACATTTTAGCTCCTTCCATTTTTGCATCTACGTACATCCGTCAATTGACCGCGAATATCTGTTTGTCTTGTGTCTTCCACAATTCATCTGTCGGCTTGGCATTTAAGATTTTATCGTTGTTGGTAAACGATTAAAGCGCGATTTAAATGCGCCTTCGGCTTAAATTGCCGCGCCACGCACTACAGCTGCCACATGCCACATGCAACATGCAGCAGCGCTTGTGCACAGACACTTGGTTGGCAATGATGTGGCAGTGAAGTACAAAATCATGGTTTCTTTTTTTGTTTGTTCATTTTGTTTGCTATTGTTGTTGCAGATCGTTACTATGCATTTTGCAAATTCACTAAACAGACATTCATACATACATACAAACATACATACATACATACATACATACATACATACATACATACATACATACATACATTCATTCAAATAGACATGCTCGTACATATTTATGGGCAAATGTTGCTTGTTGGCTTTGTTTACATTGATTATTGTTGTGGCTGCCCTTGCTGTTGGTTTTCTTGTTGTTGGTGTTTTTGTTTTTGTTTATTGCATTTTTTTTTATATTTGAGTTTATTTATTTCTTGTCGTAACTTTTAATTTGCCCATTTATTTTTATTGTTATTACTTATGTTGTTATTGTTGCTGTTGGTCATTCACTTGATTTACGTGAAACTTGGCGACGCATGCAATTAAGTAGACAAATTTTGCTGAGAATCGGTTTTTAAATGATTTCTTAAACATTTTTCTCATTAATTGCCATCTCTGTGGTATTGTCAGGGCATGATTTTTTCGAAAATTTTAAAAATAGCGCAAGGAGGTGCATCTTGAACCTTCATAGAAGAGTTCTTCTTTCTAACGGAGTGTAGATTTTACTCTTCTGTCTACCGCCGTCTTTCGTTGAGGATTCTCAAGTTGCTTGATACCGATCTGCTCAGAGAGCTTCAGGAGTACGTGAGTGTTCTTTAGGTTTCGAGCTGATCAGAGCACACTCAGGTTCAAATCAATGACATTGCTATCGTTCGGCGGTCACTTTTCAAACTAAATCAGAATCGGGTGTCGCAACCATCTCCGAGTTTTCCACCTTCCTAGCCATTCATACACCTAAGTAGCTTGATAAATTTTCGTATGGTGGGAACTAATAGTACAGACGCCAACCATATTTCGGACTCCTGCGAGTTCTTTCAACCTCAATCGCTCGTTACGGAAGAAGGTGTAGTTTAAGAACGAAAGTGTGGTGAACAATCTATATGGACTTTATGGAACCCTTAAGCGGTTGAACTAAAGCTCTCTCTCTTTTCTAGTAAAGGCCCACGGGTTGGTTACCGTATCTCGAGCATTATACTTTGCGCCCAACTTTTCAAGCTTTTTGCCATGAAATTCTAGAAAACCATTGTCTCGGTGACATCTGCGATTCTTGCCAAACTTCAATTTCTCTTCCCGTTCATTACAGTTAATTTTCTACACAGCTATTTTTTTCTTCCTAGCTTGCAGCTGCCAATATCGGCACTTACTCATGAATCACTAGAAATCTGTGCGTATGTATGCGCATGTATTTATGTTTGTATGTATTAGACAAAGTATTCTGCTGTGCATTATGCCCATATATTCAAGTATTTTTCGACAATCAATAATTCTATTTGATAAATGGCATGACGAGAAAATACTCATTTATTCTAGTGTAAAAGCAAACAAGCTGAATTATCAGAAGTATATAGCATATACGTACATATGTATAGTCATATACATGCTGCTGGTTTTATTGCAACCATTTTATTATTTCCATAACGAGTTGGCCAAATACAAAATGTTGAAAACAGTAGAGTAGAGCACCAGAAATAGATGTGAGAGGAGAGAGTTTACCACAATAATTTGCATGAAGTTAATGCGTAAGCAGAAATTTTTTTTTAAGCTTTGAAAAATATGCTTAAAAATGCAATTTATTTATGTTTACTGCATACTTTTCGGCTGTAACGCAATGTGCGATGTTGCCTAATTTCCTTGCACAGTATACAAATTACATGCGGCTTAATGATAAAATGATAAATATCATAGCAAATACAAAACATTTATAAAGTGATATACTTTAACTGAAATAAAATAGCTATTGGTCGAAACTAACTAAATTTAATTTTTTCAATAAATTCAGTTTAATTTTTTTTTAAATATTTATTTTTTTATTTATGTTATAATTTTTTTCTCGTAATTTATTTCATCTTATTTCAGTTTATTTATTTCATTTTATTTTATTTTATTTTATTTTATTTTATTTTATTTTATTTTATTTTATTTTATTTTATTTTATTTTATTTTATTTTATTTTATTTTATCTTATTTGTTTTTATTTTATTTTATTTTATTTTATTTTATTTTATTTTATTTTATTTTTTTTTATTTTATTTTATTTTATTTTATTTTATTTTATTTTATTTTACTTTATTTTATTTGATTTTATTTTATTTTATTTTATTTTATTTTATTTTATTTTATTTTATTTTATTTTGCCTTGTTTTATTTTATTTTAAATCCTTTTAAATCTTTTAATTCATATTATTTAATTTATTTTTATTTAACTTTATTTTAATGTGTTAATGTTTCATTTTATTTAATTTTATATTTTTTCATTTTATATTATTTTATTTTTTTTTTTTTTAATTTAGTTTATATATATTTTTTTTCATTTTTTCGAATTAATTTCAATTTATTTTACTTTATCTTATTATATTTAAGTTTAGGTTATGTTATTTTATTTATATTATTTTTTTATTTTTAATACATTTAATTTAATTTAATTTTTTTATTTAAAATTATTTCGTTTCGCTAAAAGCAAAATTTGTTCATATTTAGAGCTAGCTGTGATCTAAATTGTGAGAGACTCCCGCTTGATTAAAATGTTAATACAAAAATTAATTTCAGTATATGCTATAAACACAGGCATATTTTCTTAAAAATTAAAATCTGGCCATTGTTTGCAAATAATATTCAATAGCTGTTCCAAATACCTCACGCACTTCAATTCACTCGCTTTATGTACTCTTACTGGCAAACAATGGCGCTTCATGAATTTCGAAATATTATTTTATGGCAAAACAAGCAGAGTAATAAAGCCGAATAATACTAACCATAGAAATGCGTGAAACAAAAGCATAAACAAGGCAAAAGTGCTGATGAACTCTAAACTGAAATTTAACCTTTTTTTCTACGAAATCAATTCAAGCATAGAATTCGCCAGAAAACCCATGAACTGGACTATTATTGGCATAGAGTGTGCTTTATGGCAATTTTCAAGTGAGTGTATGTGTACGTGCATACAAATAGAGTGTATAGCGGACTCACAATTACTTTTTAATATTTGTATATATATATATGTATTAGTACCGTTATATAGCATACATTTTGTTTGCCTGCATGCGCCTCATAAATTAATTGATTCTCCATTCAAACTTTCCCCAATTTAACTTTTCTACACCAACAAATTTTATGTAGAGATTTAATGCAATTTATTAGAGGTGGGTGTAAATATTTTTTTTATTTTCTTGTAAATGGCTGCCTGCCCTAATGCACTTTCCTACATACATCTACGGGCTTACTGCTCTTCATTGTCAGCGTGGAAATGTGCACGTAGCACCTCATAAAATATAGTTAGCGGTCATAATTTATGCATATTTATATTTCAGTCATAAAAAGTAATGCATAAAATACTAACTAAACGACACTTTAATGAAATAGCGCCTAACTATATGCTACCATTATGTGCATTATAATAATAAAATAAAATAAAATAAAATAAAATAAAATAAAATAAAATAAAATAAAATAAAATAAAATAAAATAAAATAAAATAAAATAACGAGTAGTGAACTATAATAAGATAAATTAAATGAAATTAGAATTAAATAAAATATAATAAAATTAAATAAAGTAAAACGTAAATAAAGTAAATTTAAAAAAAATAAATTGATTTTAATTAAAAACATAAAATAAATTAAATTTTCAATTGCAATTAAATGAAATTAAATTTAATAATAAATTATTAGTGAAATTTTATTAAATAAAGCAAAACAAAATAAAAAAAGTTATTAAAACTCTTTCCATTTTTTAACTTGTATATTTACACTTATGTGTATTTGTTTTCAATTTCCCAACACGCATTTGCGAATACCAGTTTTTTTTTGCAAACTTAATCCACTTTCTGGCTCTGGCCATTTTTATCAGTTATTAAAAATAAATTTACGCTCTATTTAGGTGCCTGCTCAGGCTTTGTTTTTGGATTATAATACATGCAAATATGAAACAAACTTTATCGTCGTATAACTTTTACTAACATTTTTCGAAACTTCTATTCTCTCCTTTTCTGCCTTTTGTTTTGTGTGTTTTTTTTTGCGATTTTCATTATATACAACCAATTTGGAGAGGATTAGATGAAAAATGTGAGTATTTTGTATGAAAAGCTAATGAAAATCAGATAAAAATTTACACTTTTTTACGAAAAAGTTTAGCGTTAATTGCAAACACATATAAAAAATAAATATTTTTAAAATTTATATACATATATGTGACATAGGGGTGACCAGTATTTGGGATAAATTGAATAAATTGAAATAAATATTTTTGGGGGGTGTGTATGTACTGGAAATGCTCTAAAAGGTAGGCGGGGAGGTTTGTAATTCACCTTTAAACCAGCATAATAAATGGAATATGTGGTAAAGTTGTATTTATTCTCACTGCAAACATTTTTGTACCCTTTAAGTGAATCAGAAAACAATCTCATTAAATATTTTCATTCCCTTCCACAAGTGTATTACTAAAACTGTCACATTATGAAAACATTTTCGCCTCCTAAAGTCACAATGAAATTGAAAACTGTACTCATATGTGTGTGTATTTTGTATTTTTTCACTGTCACCCATTTTACATGCAACAAATATCATAAATAACAAATCTCATTTGCATTATATCAAATGCAGGAGACATGAGAAAAGAAATCGAGCAAGTGTGGCAACACTGCGCCTGTCCGCATACCCTTCACTTGCATAGTAGTGCCTAACAATATGCTACGTAATACATAAATGTGCAACTAACTGTCGTTGTCTCCCCACAGACCAGACACAATAAATTTCTGTAAATGCAATCGAAATGAACTCCACAAGGCACAGAGGAGGCAAAAAAAAGGACTCATATGTGCGCTGGAAATAAATGTATGAATATATAAATTATTCCTTCTTTTTCCGAGCAAATAAAAAAATATATATATTAAAAATGAAAATAAAAAATACCGCAAAAAAATTGAGAAAAAAATAATGAGCTGATAGTATGAAGTGAGGAAAAGCGAAGGGAAAAAATTAAACGAAAGTTTGAAAACCAACCGCAAAAAGTTAAAGCATAAAAGGAACAAGGATGGATACAAAGAAAATGACAAGAGTTTTAAATTTTAAAAAAGGTATGGAAAAGAAAAAAAAATATTATAATAGCATTAAAGAATTGCATAAAAAGAGCAAACGCAACAGGCGGCATATGAAAACTTGGGAAAAAGTGGCATTTGTTGTTTGTGTTGCATATATTTAACTGTTCTTTTTTCCCTCAATACTCGTATATACGATTGCCCTCAAACCATAGAGGGAAACAAAAAATTTCGAGCTTGACATTGACAAATAGCAAAGCATTCATGCAAATCTTATTAAAACTTGGTAAAAAAAAAAAAAGAAATGAAGGATGAAAGCTTAGCATACATATACAGCAAGCCGATGGACAAGGGAAAAATGTGATATCTCTTTCCTCTACATATAGATAAATGTGGGTTTGTGTGTGTCTGTTCGAGTAGTCAAAAATTTGTTTTGAGAGGACTTACAAAAGAAAAAAAAAAATAAAATAAAATAAAATAAAATAAAATAAAATAAAATAAAATAAAATAAAATAAAATAAAATAAAATANATGAAATGAAATGAAATGAAATGAAATGAAATGAAATGAAATGAAATGAAATTAAATTAAATTAAATTAAATTAAATTAAATTAAATAAAATAAAATAATAAAAAAATAAAAACAAATTGAAAAATTAAAACAATAAGAAAAAAAATTAAAAATATATAAAATTTAAAAATAAAAAATACAAACGTTTGTTTGTATTTTTCTTGTATTTTCTATATAAAAAGTGTTTGATTTGTAGAGTAAAAAACCTATGATAAGTTTGCCAAAATCTAAGCAATGTTTCTGGGACTTTATTATAAAGTATTTTAAACTTTTTTCCTTATCGTGAACGCGTGTCTGACTTTTTATTAAGAAATTAAAGGCATATCCATATGATTAATGCAACTCTTCCAAAGGATATCTATCTTCAACGTATGGAAGATACGTCTTGTCTTACAAAAAAGTTGTTTAAAAAAATCAACTCCAAAATATTTCTACCGACAGAACATTTTGCTCACATAAACGGAAATACTCCTTTTGTTTAATTCAAATTATGCTCATTATACACACCTTTCATTAACATTTGAAACAACCATTTTACATGGCCTACTTTCAGGCGCATCTGATCTCAACTACCAGTGAGGCAAGTGACAGCGTTGCAAGGATTCGACATATTCAAAACCTAATTAAACTCTTTCTAGAAAAAAGAAAAACATCAAAACTTTTCTTCAACGTTTGTGTCTTTGAAATGAATGGAAATATAAAAACTTTTTCTTCACTTTCAATTATTTATATCAATCGCCTTTACATATATTGTATGCTCTTTGCAACTTTTACTTTCTTCTTTGCAACTTTTGCTTTCTCTGTAAACTATTCACTGGCTCCCCTCACTATCTGCCGCTGATGCTGTGGCTGTCACGCTTGAGTGCATTGCGAAAACTTTGAAATAACCTTTCAAATATCCTGCCATGTTCGGCTGCCATTGGCAGACATCGTATTCAATTCCCTGTTTGCTGTTAGGGAGCTTGATGCTCGCATTAGTAGCATCATACACATATGTATATGTATACGATTGTGTGCCTGCATACGTGTGAGCTTACTCATATTTGCATTTGCGTTTTACACTCGTTGTTCTCCTAAATGGATTGAAAATGTATTGATATTTGAGCTGCTGCATCCAACTCGCCGCTGGCAACATTTGCATCCTTGCAGCGAGACATGTGCGCAGGCAAATACAGACAAAGCTGTTTGCTTGTCAAAAAATAAAAAAATAAAAAATCAGTAAATATATAGCGAGAAGTTTTCCTTACGTCCAGCAGAATGCAAGGCATGCGAATATAGTTTCTTTTGCTTTTCTGCTTGTATCCTTCCTTCCCTTTGATCCTTGCAAGTATTCCTCTTTTGCTTTTACTCTTCTATTTGCTTGAAGGATAAATATCGCTTTAAGGGATTTGCTTGCATACACTGAATGATATAAACGTATGAATGTGTATGTTGGTTACTGCGGCCCTGTGCGATTGCTTGATACGTCCGTATGTCCTTTTCGTGCGTTAACTGATGTCATGGCCATCTCAGCTTGGCTCCCTACATCTACTTGCCGGCATGCAGTTGCAACAATCAATCGTTCCTTGGCTCTTTGCACCAGTAAACTCAGCGTGCGTCGTCGAAATTGCTTTGGTGTGCTACTAAGCAGGAGCTTTCTTTCTACAAGCAGCGGCTGCAGTGCAAAGGCTTTGGGAGCTGTTTGTAAGAATTTCGCCACAGGGATTTGTATACTTAAGTAATGGTTTTACTATTGGAAAACATTTTATTGATAATGCAAGCTGTTACGGTTACGAGTGTTAGAAAGTGAAATGGAATAATGTGTGCTTTAATAGGATAGGAATAAACGAGAATTATAAACATTTATTGCAATACTTTTGGCGTTCAAAGTGAAATTTAAATATTTTTAAACCTATTTACTTGAGCTTGCTTTACTAAGAAGCTATAAACTCCAAATCCATGAATGAGTGTGTGTCTTTGCTGAAATGCGCAAAAATGTAGGCAACATTATTAAACTTTTCAAACGTTATTTGGGCTTTTATAAAAAAAAAATACGTTGCCTACATTGGAGCGCTGCTTAGCGTAGACATCTGCCTAACATTTATTAAATTGAATTTTAGCATTAAGTTGGTATAAAATACTATATCAAAGAATATGTTATGCATTTAGTATTAATTTTGTCTATTTTTTTTTAATATATATAAACTTTTCGTATTTTGGTTATTTTCTTAACAAAATTTTTTTCTACTTTTCAGACAAGGGTGTTTTAATACCTCCCTCTGCCACGAAGGACTCGCCAGGTGAGATGGGTAAACCAGTTGTGTTACCCACAAATATGACAGCGGAAATGAAGAAAGCCGTTGACGATGGTTGGACGAATAACGCTTTCAATCAGTATGTGTCCGATATGATATCGGTGCATCGTTCTTTGCCAGATCCGCGAGATGCGTGGTGAGTAGACAAAAAAAAATTGAAAAAAGTTGTTGACTTAATGTCCCCCAATTACTATACATACTGCCAGTTTTTCTATAACTCATAAACTCTTTCTTCATATAATACAAAATCCGACTGGTCCTTTTGGGTTTGCTCCCAAATTTTTGAATATTAGTGAAGCCGTCCTCTCTTCCCACCTTTAATATTTAGCTGGAAATCTACCACATATCTTCCAAATTCATATCAAGTCCTCCATTTTCTCGTGCTATCTTAAGGAAAGTGAGCGTTAGGCCCAACAGAAACCTCATGAAAGCCAGCTTAGTCATCTGTTCAAGCTCAATTTCTTTCAGTGCAATGATAACAATTTACATTTCCATCACGTACTTTATACGAGCATTAGTTCCAGCACACAGCCCATGGCACACAGCTCTTGGCACACTACACTAAAGTGACGTCCGTCCGAAGTACGCATCACAAAATATGCAACACTGATACTTCCTTCATAAACTAAAACGAAAGACAAGCGAAAAAAATAATTACATTTAAAATTCTTTAATTTGATTTTCATTCCACAGGTGCAAAGAACCAGGCCGCTATTTGGATAACCTACCCCCCACCGATGTCATCATTTGCTTCCACAATGAGGCGTGGTCGGTGCTGTTGCGTACAGTGCACTCTGTGTTGGATCGTTCGCCGTCACATTTGATTAACGAAATTATACTCGTTGATGATTTCTCCGATATGCGTAAGTTGAGAGAGAGAGGGAGAGAAAATACAAAAACAACTGTGTATAACCCTCATGATACAAAAAAAATTAATTGATATTCGCGCAAAATTTCGATATTTTATAAATAACGGGGGTTAAGTACACACTATTGCTTATAGCCATCTTCAAAACTATTTTTCAAAAACAGGATTTTCGCTCAACACTGACATATTTGAGCTGCAAAAATTACAAAATTCGGTATAATGCCAACAAATTATATGCAAAATATTGTCATTGGAAAATTATCAAAATCAAATGGCAATAACTCATAGCTGTCATACAATTTATTTTTCAAAAACAGGTTTTTAAGTGATAACTTCACTAGCTAAGCAGCTAGCTAACTAAAACTTAGTAGTCAGACTACCTGTTGCTAGCTAAATATGAGTAGTGAATATCATCGATATCTAATGCTTATATCATTTAGCTCCCATACAAATTACTGTTGGAAAATGCGTTTTTTGGTTTAAACTCAAACATTTACGCTGCAAAAATAACAAAAGTTAGTAGATTGCCTACGTGCTATATGTAAAATATTCTCGGTGATTTTTTTTTTTAAATCAGACAATAATAAAGCATAGCTGTCATACAAATTATTTTTCAAAAATGACTGGTCATAAATCGCGTACTTCAATAACTGAAACTGGGAAAGTTGGTATTGTGGATATATGTATAGCTTGTATTGTATATTTATGCTGAAAAGCTTCAAAAAAAGAACAAAAAAGTATGGCAACCATATAAAGTGGCGTTCAAAAAATTCGGTTTTGGTAAACAATTCCGTGGCTAAGGAAGTATTTGTTGCCTTTTGTAGTTCAGCAATATTTTTCTCCCGAAACTTATTGAAACTATTAAGTTTACTCTGCTTATAAAGGGTATCAGTTTTGCGCATAGAGAGTTTTGATTTGTTTCAATTTTTTTTTTTGTTCTTACAAGTTGCATAGCGCTTGCGCACATGCTTTGCATTTCAGTGCAATGCTTATATGCACTCAGCTCAATTTGCAATTTAATTATGTATGCTTCATAACGCTTTTTGTTGTTTTTGTTTATGTTTATTTTCCTTTTATTACACCTTTATAATTGTTTGTGTCTGTTTTTTCTTTCTTGCAATAGCACACACCAAACAACAGCTGGACGATTACTTCAGCGCCTATCCAAAGGTGAAGATTTTACGCGCCCCCAGCCGTGAAGGTCTGATACGAGCGCGTCTATTGGGCGCACGTCATGCCACCGCGCCGGTGATAACATACTTGGATTCCCACTGCGAGTGCACCGAAGGTGAGTAAATATCCAAGAGCGTGTATAACTAATTACATCTATATATTGGTATGTAAATGCGAATTGATTGATATTTGCGGTTGCTGCCACACACACGCATACCTACCTAATTGTGCATATTAAATGGGAAATATGTGCAAAAAAAAAGCACAAAATATTTGCAATTAAAATGCCAATAAAGCTACAATAACAACCACGTTTCTGTTGTCATAATTCAATCAAATAAAATAAGAATAAAAAATTTCCGAGATACTTGAAAAATAAATAGAATTTAATTAATATCTCCTGCCATTTACATGTCATAAATATGTATTTCCAGCTCAATTTAATTAAAAATATATTTGAAATTTTTACAAAACCGCAAATACACGCACTTGACACGCTCTGCACTTGATGGCGCAGCACGCAGTCGGCATTGGCATTCATTCGCATACTGCTGTGCGCCAAGTTACGCGGCGTAATATCATTGCGTTGCGGTTAGCCATTTTTGTTTTTGGAAAAATGAGATTTGTTAATATGATATATCACATAATATTTAATAAATTTTATTTTATTTATTATTTTACTTGCATATATTTCATTTTTCTTATTTAATTCTATTTTACGTGAATTTAATTAATTTTCATATTTCATTTTATTTTATTTTATTTTATTTTATTTTATTTTATTTTATTTTATTTTATTTTATTTTATTTTATTTTATTTTATTTTATTTTATTTTATTTCACTTTAATATATTTCATTTATCGTATTTCCCTTTATTTTATTTTTTATTGTTTTATTTAATTTTTTTATTTTAATTAATTCACACCATTTAATTTTCTTTTATTTTATTTTATTTTATTTTATATTATTTTATTTTATTTTATTTTATTTTATTTCATTTTATTTCACTTTAATATATTTCATTTATCGTATTTCCCTTTATTTTATTTTTTATTGTTTTATTTAATTTTTTTATTTTAATTAATTCACACCATTTAATTTTCTTTTATTTTCCTTGACTTAATTCTATTTTATTTTACTTTATCTTAATTTCTCTTATTTTGTTTTTTTCCTTTTATTTAATTTTTTAATTCATATATTTTTAGTTATTATTGAAATATAATTATTTTTATTTTATTTTGTTTTTTCTTATTTTTTTATTTCACTTAATAATTTTATTTTATTTTATATTGCTTAATTTAATTTATTTCATTATATTTTTTATTTCATTTTATTTAATTTATATATATTTATTAAAATTAAATAATATTTTTTTTATTTTAGTCGATTTTATTTTACATATATTTTCCTTATTTCACTTAATTTTATTTATATAGATAACACTACATATTATTTTTTCTTATTTTGTTTTAGTTCACTTTATTAAATTTTATTTATTCTTTTTTTATTTTATTTTACTTTCTTGTAATTAATTTCGCTTTAAAATATTATATATTTGATTGTGTATTCTAATTTAATTAATTTCACTTATTACAATATAATTTAATTTCTTTAATTTGAAATTATATTATTTTATATTTTTTTTTATTTCACTTCATAACTTTATTATATTTGATATTGTTTAATTTAATATTTTTTTATTTTATGTTATTTCATTTTTTAATTTAATTTTATTTATATTTATCTATTTGAAAAAATGTAAAATTATTTTATTTTATTTTTGTAGTTTTTTTTTTATTTTATATTATTGTATTTTTTTTAGTTTATTTCGTTTTAATTATTTTATTTTATTTTATTTTACTTTAATTTATTTCATAATTTTTTATTTTATTTTATTTAATTATTTTATTCTATTTTTATTTTTATTTTTTATTATTTTCTTTTATTCTATTTTTTTTAGTCTGATTTGATGAATTGTCAAATTAGGCCCATTAATATTTTTTTCGGGTTATTTTAATATAATATATGCTACACTAAATTAAAAGTAAATCAAACTCCGAGCTTAAATTGCCGAGTTCTTCGCAGGTGTTGCAAAAAAAATATTAAAAAAAAACAAAACAACAAAATACTGATAGAAGGAATCGCGCGGAGACTTGATGACTTGCTTGGATAAATATTTACAAACCTCTCAATCATTCACTCATACAGATGACTTAAACCACCAAACTTAAAACTTTATTTGGTAGTTTAGGAGAGAGCAAAAAGCGGGGTAAACAAAAAATTCAATTTTTACATTTTAATGATTGATGACCACTCATGAGAGACTATGTGTACTCTAAACAACAAAAAGGAAAAAAAGAAAGCAAAAACAGAAAGCAAATAAGGGTAAGCGGCAGGATATGCGCATACATGGGACAGCGTGTAAAAGTTCGTGCTCGGTTGAACAATCGATTGTGTTATATGTAACTGTATATTTGTGTACATCTCTCGAAGAAGAATCCTCACGCGACCGCCACGTCGGTGTTAAGAAGGATTTATGTTTTTTCATCTTTCTCCTGCCATGACTGACTGTGCGTTTACTTTGGGCTGACGTTTATGGCAACGGTTTAGTGAACACGCTGCTGTTGCTAGTTGTTACCTCTCTGCTTAGCTACTTGCGCCAGTGGTCACTGCTTTTGATATTTTGTGGTTATAATCTCTCTTATAAACCCACACTCGCTAGCATTTTTTCGACCTTTCTCACTTTTGAGTAATTGCATTTCCTATTTTATGCTTATTTACTTTATTTCTAAGTGAGTTAGTTTTCTTTTATTATTTTTTTTTTTGCCTGTGCATCCAGTTTCCTTCCTTCCGTCCTTCCTTCCTTTTTGGGGCACCTAAATTATCCTGAATTTATTTGGGTTTTAGTTTTTCTCTTTTACTTTCCATTCTGGTTTGCGGTTATTTGTTGGGTCGGCTTGTACGGTTCAATGGACGGATTATAACTATAAAAGCTTTCACAGTAATGGCGGATATGAAAAAATGGTTAAAAGTGCCCAAAGCAATTTAATATGTACTGCACATATTATCTGTGAGACACAGGGGCTGCGATAATAAATTTTGCTATTTTTTATGACATGTGCGAAAGTAATGGTTTGGAAAATCTGTGGTTTTATATAATATAATTTTGTTTTATTTTCTGCTTTTTTATTTTATGATATTATATAGAATTTAATCAAGTTAATTTTACTTAAATTTATTTTAATATTTTTTATTTCACCTTTTCATTTACTTTTATTAGCTTTTATTTAATTAAAATAGTTTACTTTATTTTAATTCATTGAATGTAATTTAATTTTATTTAATTTAACCTTATTTTAATTTATTAAATTAAATTTAATTTATTTTTATTAAGTTTTACTATTTTATAATACTTTCTTTTGTTTTATTGCTATTATTTTATTTAAATTAAATTTATTTGTCTTTTTTAATTTTATTTTATTTTTATATTATGATACAATATTTAAATTAATTCAATTATTTTAATTTATAATATTTCATTTAGTTTGCTTTCATTTTAATTTAATATGGTTTTGGTTAATATTTTTATTTACTTTCATTAACTTTAATTTAATTTAACTCTTTCATTTTAATTTAAATCCTTTAATTTATTTTCTGCTTTTTTATTATGATATCATATTTAATTAAATTATTTTAATTAATTTAAATTTATTTTAATTTGAATTATTTCAGTTGGCTTGATTTTCTTTAATTTTAATATATTAAATTAAAATTTTTATTTTCTTTCATTACATTTTTTTTAATTTAGCTCTTTCATTTTATTTTAGTCCATTCAATGTAATTTAATATAATTTTACTTTACCTTATATAAGATCATTGAATTAAATTTACTTTAATTTAGTTTGAAGGTAATCAATTTAATTTAATTCTTACTGTTTTACACTATTTTGCTTTAGCTCGTTGTACTTTATTATTTTTATTTTATATAAATTAGTTTTATTTCACTTTATTTAATTATACTTAATTTAATTCATTTGATTTGATTTTGTTTTATTTTATTTTCTTTTATTTTATTTCATTTTAATATATTTTATTTTGTTTTATTTTATTTTATTTTATTTCTTTATATTTTATATTATTTGATGGTATTTATTTATTTTATTTCTTTTCCTGTTTTCTTTGTGTCTTATTTTGCTGGATTTAATTTTTATTTTTAATTTAATTTATTTTTGCTTTATTGTTTTATATTATTTTATTTTCTTCATTCTGTTTATTCTATTACAATCTTTGTATTTTTTTTAATATATTTTATTTTATTTATTACTTTGCTTTTTTTCATTTTCAGGCAGGCAAAGATAGCTGCAAAATAATCTTTACCTGTCTGACACTCACCAGTTTTTCTCATTCCTTACCCCCTTTGTACGTTTTTGTTTTTAGTTTCTCTGTTCTTTTACAATTCATTTCGTTTTCAAACTTTCTTGCAATAATTTTTCTTTTATCTCTCTCCCTCGACAGGTTGGTTGGAGCCCCTACTCGATCGTATCGCTCGCAATAACACTACCGTCGTTTGTCCGGTCATCGATGTCATTGACGATACAACATTGGAGTTCCACTTCCGGGACTCGGGTGGCGTGAATGTGGGCGGATTTGATTGGAATTTACAATTTAATTGGCATGCAGTGCCGGAACGTGAACGCAAGCGACACAAGGTGAGTGCGAAACACAAAAAGTATGCAAATATGATTGTATTTTTAAAATACTGAAAGGGGGAGAACGATAAATAGAAAGAGAACAAACGAAAAAGTGTATGAAAATCACGTTTATCAAATATGAATCTCACTCGGAGGGAGCACCGATAATTAATATAACTGAGGTTTTTATTAAAAACAACTTTTTTCTGTTTTGATTTTTTTCGTATACCAACTTTGAGTTGGACTCAGTTGTTGATTTACTTAAAGGTTTTGCTTTTCAGCAAGTTTCGTTATTTTATTCCGAATGAAATTCTCTTTCTCAAATAGGTTTTCTTATATTTTTATTTTTTAATTTTTTTTTTATCAAATTTACATGTATGTACAATATAACTGAAAACAATGAATATGTTCGAGCGGAAAAGCTAAACATTTTGAAAAGCTCAAACAACACCGTTATCAAAACGTCAGCATCCGCTTTGGCTCTGACAAGCTGTTACCTTCCGGCCCTAAGCAGCGTGTATTGTATGTCAAATTCAGCTGGTGTCAGATTTTTATGCGTATATACATACATATGTTACGCTACTCTGTAGTCATCAATGTAAATGTACGAGTATAATACATATACTTCTACTACTCTCTTGTCAAACTCAAACTCCGCTATGTGCAACGTCATGTCTACCTCTCCTTGCTGACGAAATTTACTCTTCAGCTTTGATAACAGAAGTCCCATATTCGCTTCTTCCTCTTCCCATTGTTGGTTACTTTTACTTCATTTTCTCAATGCCTGAGAAATGCACACATACTTGCAGACATAATTTTCATTTTATTGTAAGTACTAAAACGTGCCAATTCTGGAAGCGTGACATACGCTTATGTATGTATGTTTGAATATTTCAATCTACTCACGCATGTATCTATATATGTATGTCTATTTATAAGGTAAATGAATGAAAATACGCCTGTTAAATGACATTGAGTTTCGTATGAGTATGTCGTAAGGCAGTTAAAGTGTGGACACTTTTTTCCTATTTAAATGGAAATTTGATTAAAACTGTTATTTAAACTTTGTGAATTTTAACGTTTTTCAAACAAATATAACTTTTTTTCAATAAATCCCTAAACGAGGATATTTATTTTTTTTTATTTGCATTTTCCGAGAAAGGAAATATTTACAAATAAAATTAACTGTATTTTATTTTCATTCAAGCTTAATTGATAACCTAAATTTTCAGGTTATTCATTTTTTAATTTAGTATTTCCATAAAAAATGTTTTTTTTTAAATTTTTTTCTTTTATTTAACTTTAATTTTAATCGATTTTTTTTTAATTGCTTATTTTTTTTCTTTTTATTTTTTTTCGTTTTTCTGTATCATTGTAATTTATTTTATTTATTTTGTGAAAATGTTTTTTCTTTTAAATTTTCCCAAAAAGAAAAAAAAAAATTGTTTTTTTCCAAATCTCAATAATCAAACAATAAATTTGAATTCAAAATTTTTTAATTTGTTTAATTTTCTTTTTTAAACAAAAATTCTTATTTTAATAATCTTATTTAAAATAACTATTTTTTCATATATTTTAACTTCTCTCTTGCAAAAATCAATAATTTTAATATTTTTTAAAAAATTTTTTATTATATATTCAAATTATGGCTTTTAGTTTGTAACCGCGCCTTGTAACCGATGAAGCGATTTTCGGCCGAGCTCATTCTCCAATTTATGGTTTCGCCTTGCCTTTTGTTTTTCCAACAAATAGATAATAACTTAGAGTTTATACTAAGCCGCCTGCGAACAGCTGATGATTTTTTTATTCGGAGCTTTATTTCATGTCAGAAATATACTCGGAGAGGTTGATATTCCCTGTCGAAGGAGGGCCGCAATTAGAAAATTTGGCTTAATTTTTCTTTCTATAACTTTTTGGATGTTATTGCGATACCAAGACTTGCACCCGAGCCTTCCGAATGGCAATACGCAATGCTAACCACGCGGCTGCCGCGGTCGCCATTTGAAAAATGCCTACAAAATATGCAACGCTCTTTTTATGCTTGTTTTTTTTTTTAATTTTTTTATTAGTTTTTCTTTTTTTTAATTCAGTTTATTTCCTTAATATTAAATATGTATTTTTCCCTTTATTATAAACTTCGTGGTTTCGTAACGTACTCCATACCCAAGTTATGGCCTGTGAAGCTGAGATCGATATTTACAAGAGATTCTGCATCGGCGCATTGTAATGAATCTATTTCCTGTACCGCTGTGGCGTGTGCATAAAATGAGAATTTTCTCTTATCGTTCTGTGCCAATTCAACTGCTACATTTATCAAATCGCATGTGACGCGTTCGCAATATTCGATATATACCGTCTGCAACTTCGGGCAATTTCTCAACAAATGCACGAGTCCCTGATTGGTGATGTTTTTGCAAGCGGAGATTGTTAACTCTTCGAGTTCCTTCAACTTTCCGAAGTTGGCCAAGTTCTCATTATTTAGTGTTTCTCCATTGGATGTAATGGAAAGTGTTTTTAATTTCTTTAATTTTGAAATTTGTTCAATGTGTTGGGGAGTTAAAAATTTTCCGGTTGTTATCACCAAACCCTCCAAATGATTCGCTCTTAATTGTACCAATGCGTCAATTAGGCTGAGACTCTCCTTCTGGCAGCGATGCAACAATTCTAGATGCTTTAGTTTTGGCATTGAAGCCACACGATTACAGGAGAAGGGTCGACATGACATCTTCAGCACTTCAATTCGATGACAATGCTTGGAAATTGTATTGTAAAATTCCGGATTGAGTGCGTCTATGCCACGGATGTCAAGTGAACGCAGGTTTTCCAATGAATCGCATGCTTCCATTAAATATCTGTGTTGGATAGCGCCGCAGCCGTAGAGGCCCAAATGTTTGAGTTGCTGTAGATTTTTTAGATATTTACCTGTTTGAGCAAAAGAGGAAAAGAGAGAGAGAGAGAGGGAGAGTTAGATAATTGCACAAACCTTTATATGATTATATATTTTATTTTATTATTTTCAATTTTAATAATTTTTATTTTTTTAATTTTGTTTATTTCCTAATTATTTTTTTAATTTTAATTTCTTTTTTTTATATAAATTAAAATTATTTTGCTTCTCTACCAAATTTTATTTTGCTTCCATTATTTTTACTTTGTGTTATTTTTTTTAACTTCGTTTTAATCACTTACTGTAATTTATTTTATTTTATGTCATATCCTTTTTATTTGATTACTAAGGTATTCTATTTGTTTTTATTAATTTGCTTTTTTTAATATTAATTTTTTGCTTTAATGTGTTTTATATGGCTTAACTTTATTTTATTTTATTATTAATTATAATTTTTTATTTAATTTTCCTCACACATATATATATATATATATATACTTTTTCATTGTTTTATTTTTTATTTACAATAATTTCATATTTTTTTATAATCAAAATATTTGCAATTAAATTATTAATATCACTTGATTTAACTAATATTTTCTTGATAATATTTTATTTCTTATTTAATTTTTTAAATGTATTTTAGGTGCCTTTAATTATTTTTTATATTTTTTTGTACTTTGTTTCATTTCATTGGTGTTTATGTTTTTAATTTGGTATCAATTTAATTGTTTTCTTTGTATTCATATTATAATATTTCATATTTTATTATGTATTAAATTTTTTTTTTACTTAGTTTATATTTTTTTTACAATTTATTTTATTTTTCCTGTATTTATTTTTATTTAATTTTTTATTTTTAATGCATTTTATGTGTATTTATTTAATTTTTTATCCGATTTAATTTGTATTTTATTTTTATTAAGCTTAATGTTTTTAATTTTTTTATTTCTTTATATTCATTTTATTTTATTTCATATTTTAATATAGAGTCTATTTAATTTAATTATGTTTATAAACGTTTATATAATTTTTTTTTAATTTTTTAGTTTAAATTAATGCAATTTAATTTCATTTCACTTAGTTTTAATTTTTTATTTTGGTATTTGAACTTAATTTCATTTACTTTAATTTAATTTGCATTAATTTTCTTAAATTTAATTTTATTCTAATTTGCTTTATTTTGATTTTTTTTTATTAAATTTATTTTATTTTATTTTACTCGATTTTAATCAAATTTAATTTAAGTATTTCGTTTTGTTTTATGTTTGATCAATCTTTTGTTTTAAGTGATTTTATTTCCATTTAATTTACTTTAAATTCTTTTCCACTTACCACTAAAATTGCAATTGTTACTCAACGACAACGACTCCAGTTGCTTTGGGCCTTCTAGCAATTGTATTGTTGTATCGTTGTATGAGCTTTTTGTGGTGTGCAATTGGCGTAAATCCCACAAACATTTCATAAAATTTCCAAAACAATCATCAGCCACCTCGGAGTCAACCAAGTTGATGTGTTGTAAATTCGGACAATATTCAGCCATAAGGTCTACAATAAACTCGCGATTTGTCGATGGCAGCGGTCCACTTATTTCCATCATATGCTCACCTGCATAATGTAGTAAATCGCGTATTTCCCACAATGTCATATCTTTCATTTTGTTCACACGAAAATTTTTATACCGATCTCGGCAAAAGGATAGCACAAAAAAATTTCGAAAATGTTCATTTATACGCGTGAGACGGATTTGTGCACCGGGTTGTATGCCCCCGAAAAGACGTTTCATATATTCGGTGCTATAGGAGAATTTATTTGCGATCTTCCTTAGCGAGTGTATATTTCTATCGCTCTCTATATCTAAGTAAAATGGGAAGAAGAATTCCGGTTGAAGCCAACTGGAGACCGGTTCAAACTTTATGAATGTATCCCCTAAGTCATGATACGGTTCGAGTAGTAACCTGTGTATAGTGCATCGGAAGAAGAAAATTAATATTTTTGAAGAAAATTTTACTATAATTTAAATTTAATAAACTAATATTAAGGATACATAGATATTTTTGAAATATATTAAATTTATTTTGAAAATATTTAAAACCTATTAAATTTAATTTAACAAAGTTTCAGCTACTTT